CGGCATCGGTGCCCTCTGTCCGCTGAACATTGCCCCCGCTATCGTTTCGGGAGCTCGCGCTCGTCATCCACGGCGCCCCCGCCGGCGACCCCGCCCCCGCGCTGGGCCACGCTAGTTTGTACGTCGCGCTCGCAATGTCCGCCCCAGTGTGATTGTATACCTCGAGAATGACAACACCGCCCTCAGCGCGAACCTGCTCGACGCACGCCCCGGCACCGAGAGCGGGCCTTTCCCCCTCGAGCTCCGCTCGAGTAAACGAGATGGGCGCGCCCTGTTCGTGCGCCCCCAGGAGCCCGTCAAAGCGGGAGTACGTGCGCACGATGATTCCGTCGGGCAGTGCTACTCCCGCCGCTCGGTACCGCGCCAACGCGAATCTCACGATCTCGCCTGCATGGACGCCGTGTCGGAGCTCACCTTCATGCGACCCCAACGCCAACTATGGATCTCTGACGTCCCGCAAATGATCCATTCACGCGTCGCACGCGACACGGCGCCCCTCCTCTGACGCCACTGCTTCATTACACCATCCCCGACGCGCTATTAGCTGAAAGATGCAGTCCGCCAGGGACGCGCCGACTCCGCGTCCAAGACCGCAACCAACTCTGCGTCCTGATCCGGCCATTTCTTCGGCTCGCTCTTCGTCGGTTGTTGCCTCGAATACCAACGCCTCCATCAAAAACTCCATGAACTTCATCGTGCGGCCCTCCACCACGCGGCACTGATCCTCCGCGCCGTGAGCGCTCAGTAACTCTTTCCGTGCGACACGCCACCCCCGCCACTCACGAACCCACTTCTCTTTCATGACCCGCAGCAATGGCGCCGTGTCCCCCCGCGCTCTCCAAAGATGTGCGCGCAGCTCTTTGGGCGCGAACTCCAGGCCCGGAATCTCCCGCCCGCACTTCGGGCTCTTCACAAGCACTCCGCAGGAGGCGCAATGCGCGCCCATCAGCCTCTCGGATGACGCGCACCGGTGCCAGGATATCACCCGAAAGGATATGCGGTGCTCGCTCGCGTCCTGGCCGAGCGGCCACGCCCTCCATAATTGGTCTCTGTACGTTCCCTTTCGCGGTGGGCGCCGTCGACGGGGTCGCGCCCCGCTTTCGCGGCCTTCCCTGCCCCTTCTCTGGCCGCCGCCTCCCTGGCCCAAATCCGCGCGCTGCTCATCCCTTCGCCCATCCGAGACACCGCCAGCCACTCTCGCTGCCTGACCGATCCCTGGAGGGGACGCCGCCGACATCACTTTGTGCACGCCCACTCCTGCTTCGTTGACGCGGGCATCTGCTACGTTAACACCGCCCCCTGCGCAATGCCCGCCGCACCCAGCCCCATCGCTGCATTTTCTCCCGCTCCACGCAGCCATCAACATCTTCTTCCCCGCCCGACTACAACCCCCGCCAGTGCGCACACAGCCGCTGTGCCACCCGCGCCCCGCGACTCTATCCACTTCCATTCGCGGTGGAGACGGCGTTCTCCTTGCAGGTCCCGGTGCATCTTCGCCCGACAATCGGCTGTCGGGCGCGGCCGCACCGTCTTCCCTGGCGCCGCGCGCGGTGCTCGATGTCCCCTTCCCCACGGGCTGGGTCTCAGGAATGTGCTGCGCGATGCCCGATTCATCGGGCAGACCTCTCCAGGTTTCGACGGCGCCCGCATTCGCACGCAAAGCCGGCGGTGCCGGGCGCGGCGGCGCACCTCCGGATAAGCACTCCAAGCGCTCGTAATGCCCCCGCACAGCGCTCCTTCCAAGTCCAGCGTTGATGTTGATGAGAGTGATATCCGCCGAGTGGCCTGTAGGCAAAACATACTTGTGCAGCTGGAAAGCTGTGCGACGAACACCGCGCAACTCTCGAACCTCCCGCGCAATTGCCGCGTTCAGACGTGCGCACTCGCGCACTAACATTATCTCTAAGTCACTCAGGTAATACCCATCTGAACATAAGACCTCAAAATAACAAGGATACACAAGCGCGAAGAAGCTCTCGAAAGGCTCCTGCACCAATACAGACTCCCCGACGTCGACTGCGGGCGCGCGCAAGCGGGCGTCCTGCACCAACTCTACAAATGCCCCAACCCCCGCCTCGAATGCTCTGTCTACGTCCGCTCCCTGCAGACCCTCCACCGCATTATTGACATGTGTCAGAGAAGCGTCCACGTTGTTCGTGCCGCAATACTCTACGATGCCGCGGCGGCAATGCTGCCCGACATCTGTGTCTGCGCCAACGACGTCTATATTCCACTGCCCGTCGTCGCCCCTACACTCGTAGTCCTCCAGCATGCCCATGTGGGCCAGCAGTGGGCGCAGGAAGGTATCTTTCATATCATTCGCGCATAATCCTCTCAGCGCCCGTGCCACCTCGCCACGTTTCTCCTCGAACGCCGACAAGCAAGCTCTCTCTTGCTCCACAGCGAGCACGCAGGCATTCAGGACACTGCTCTTCCCCTCTATACTCTCCCACAGCTTCCTTTCTTCCGCCACCATACCCAGTCTCCGACCATTCAAACCAACATGCTGCTCGGCCTGCGGTTTGATCACATGTTTCCACGCCGCGTTCATCAGATCCTCCAGCGCAGGAGCGCTGCGACAATTTCGGCGCACTTCATGTGCAGTTTCTCCCAGCGTCCATCGTAGAAGACCTCTCGCATCGGCGCGCCGCAGGCCGTCTGGGCTGCCCGCGCCGAAAAGAGCATGAGTGCTACACGCGCCCCCCCGGCCGCTAGTGGTTCTCATGCGATACCGATGGTTCGCCAGAGCCCGCAGTGTCTCCGAAGAGCACGGCGCGTCACCCATGATGAGGGGGCTACCGTCACGACGCAGTCCAGAACTAGCGACCGCGCTCACGCTACTGCTTACCGCCAGCGCCACCTCCGTGCCGCCGCGACTGGCGCCCGCCGCGCAACGTTGCCAAGGGGCCCGCTCCGGGTCTCCCTCAACCCGCTCAACGCACCACGCCCACGTGCGACGCGAACGACATGTCCTTCGGACAGCCAGACGGCAGACCCGACGCAGCGGCCATCCGCGTCACCCAACCGCCACCTCCATAGGGCTCTCTCCTCCAGAAGAACCGCGACGTCTTCTGCTTCGTACACCCACGCGAAAGCCTTCTGCTGGCACAGCCACCGCTCGACCGCGTCCACGTTCTGCCTTGCCGCCGCACCCGCGCCGCCCGCTCCCGACCAGGAATGGCCGGCGCACTATTTCGTGAAAAACCGCAGAGCTTCTCGGCGCCACCGCCCGCGTTGCATACGCGCTACGGCATCTTGCAAACACTTGTTTTCCCAAGGCGCCACGGCGGCTTCGTCGTGCGCCAGGGTCGCCACAGAGGTCGCTGGTGCGCGCGTCACGCACGCCGCCCACGCGACCACAACCAATAGCATTCCATCACCAAGTGTTTCGCAGGGCACACGACCGCTCCATCCGCAAATCGCGTCGCCCTCGCCCCCTGCGTCGCCACCCCCTTACTGCTGCCGCGCATTTCGGTTCGCGCCAATCCCCGGCGAACGACGCGCGCGAGCTGCGCGGGCCCGCCCCACGCGGCGCGCTTCGCGGCCCGACGCCCGCGTCGCCATGCGCCGCAACCCAGACGGATTGGACGCATGCCCCAGAGCAACAAACAAGATTGCTCGCAGCACGTCAAAAAACGAAGCGTCCACGACGTCGCCAGTTTGTCTTCGTGCGGAAATGCTCCCTCTCGGCGCTCTCATCACAGCCGGGCACGTGTCTCGCCTCCGAGCAGCGCACGTCCGCGTCGCTGGGAGCTGACCGCCACAGGCCCTTTCTCCTCCAGTTCCTCCTCCTCCTCTTCTTCCTTCTCCTGCACCCCCTATCAATTCGCGCGCCACGGGGCGTGTTTCCTCTTCGGTTTCAGGGTGATCTGCGCCTTCGACTGCACGTCTTCCTCGGGCACGACCAGCGCGCCTCCGACGAAGAAGCTGAAGTCGTCGCGACCCGGCGCGCGCCCGAAAACAGCGCCTCCCAGCCGCCTGGCCCGCGCTGCGCCGACGGTTCGCACGACCGCCCCAGGGCCCTCGCAGAACCCCCGCCTCTAACGCGACCGATCGATCCATACTTGGTACCGGCTCGCGCCCCTTGCAGCACGTGCTGCCTGGACCATCCCGACAGACTGTCCGACTCGCGCTTCGGGGGTTTGGTTGTTGCTGGACACTCTTGCCCTGGATCCAGATGGCCAATGAACCATGGCGCTAGACTGCCATGAACACATCTACAAAACCTTACGGAGATCCGCGCGGATTTCTTGGGTCGGCGTTGGCCATCTCCCTCCCTCCCTGCACCCCTCCCCTGGCTTGTGGGGCTCGCTGGGGGCTACGCCAGAGGCGGCGCCGTAGGGGTTGTGGGGAGGGGGGGCCAGCGCCGACCCAAGAGATCCCAGCGGATCGTCGATCATCGCTGAACAGTGAATTGCGAACTGCACGCTCACATCGCAGAGCGGGGGTGGGGAGGGGGCTGGGAATAGGCGGCCCGCCAGGGGGGAAAGGAGAAAGGGCGGGCCTTCTCAGAATCCTCAGAAGTCCCCCTGCCTTCTGAGACGTTTTCTCAGCCTTCCCCGACGACGCAAAACACTTCTCGGAAGCTGCGAGGACTTCTGAGGATTCCCGCCGCCTTCTGAGAAGGCCGTTTCCTTCCCATTCCCTTCCCGCGCTCGCCGCCGAGGGAAGGGGCACGCCACTCCTTGCCAAGGGCCCTGCCCCGATCTGTGGGCCGCGGAGAGCGCCCGGCGCCGGGGCCGAGACCGACAGCACGCAGGAGATTTCGACCCCCCGCCCTTTCCCTACCCACCCCTGTCGCCTGACCCGAGGAGGAGGAGGAGGAGGAGGAGGAGGAGGAGGGAGGAGGAGGAGGAGGAGGAGGAGGAGGAGGAGGAGGACCCCCGTCGGGGAGGCATGGACCATCCCAAGCCGATTCAGAGGTCTGGTACGGGGCCGGATCTCACGCAACGACGCGCGCCTCGGACGTGCTTGCCTGTGTCCTTTCGGCCCTGCAGGTCCAAAGCGCGTCGGCCGTGAACGCCGCGCGGCCGTGGCCGTCCCGCCTGCCGGGGAGCGCGCGGCCCGTCCCGTGGGCCCGCGCAGGTGCCCCCACCCAGGGCTCCCCGCTCGCGCCAATATGGCTGCGTCCCCTCGTCCTGATCCTCGGGAGTCTCCTGGAGGCCGTCGTCGTCGCCAGCCCGATCCTCATCGTACGCCTCCACTGGTTATGTTTCTTCTTCTTCTTCAATCGTCGCGGAAGCATGGCGAGACAGAAGAGGAGGAGGAGGAGGAGGAGGAGGAGGAGGAGGAGGAGGAATAGGAGGAGGAGGAGGAGGAGAAGGAGGAAGAGGAGGAGGAGGAAGAGGAGGAGGAAAGGAGGAGGAGGAAAGAGGCCCCCCAAAAGGCTCCCAGACGACCCAAGAGGGCCCAAAGACCGCTCAAGAAACGCCCATGACGGGCCAGGGGGACCCAAGACAGCCCCAAAAGGGAGCCCACAGGGGGACTCCAAACGGACATGTCGAGCCTTCGGCCCCGAAACGCTCCCCAGTTGCCCCGAAAAGCCCCCAACAGGCCCCAAAACAACCAAAAGGCTCCCGGGAGGCCCCCAAGAGGAGCACAAACTGCCTCCCAGACACTTCCGAGACGCCTCCTACGAGACACCATTTGCCATCAGCGTGGCCTCCGACCCGCAGCCCAGGCACGGTAGCGGGTTTCGACGTCCAGAACCGCCCCGATCCCCCAACCACGTCTGACATCCCCCCTTCGTCCTCTCCCAAGACAACCCCTGGCCTTGGGGCGATCTGGGAGGCCACTTGAAAAGTCGAACCAAACACACAGAGTTACAACTGGGCATGCAAACTCTTCTGGGGTCGGCGGCAGAGGCGGCAGCCTTTAGATATGGGGCAATTGTGTTGCAAATGTACTGCGCCGGAGAATTCTATTGCATTGCATTGCGAAGAATGTATTGCACGCGAAAATCCCGCAATACTTTTGCGGCCCAGAATGTATTGCATGCCCCCGATGTATTGCAACCCCACAAATATTTTGCACATAATCTATTGCATCACCCCCTTGGCGCTGGACCCCCTTTTGGGTCAACCCGATTTCTGCCAGCGTCTTGGCCGTATACTCTTTTCGACCCTGCTGGTTCTCCTCGACTTCGGCCCTCGAGGGCCGCTGCCGGGCCCTGGGACTGTCAGAACGGACTCCGGGCGAAAGAGCACCACCAGAGAAGGGGCGACTCGTCAAAAGAAATAGCTCATTCGAATTAAACGAGGATCCCCAGGGCCCAACCATAAATACAAACGTTAGGGGGTGATGGGGTCAAGAACGGCTCCGTCGGCTGGCGCCCTGTACACGCCGCCGCGCTGGCCCCGGGCAGGCCGTCCTGCCCGGCGGGAGGGGACGAGGGGAGGGGAGAGGCAGGCAGACGGCGACGGAACGCGCAGGCGGGAGGCCAGGGCAGGCGGGGCGGGCGGGCAGCTGGAAGAGGGGCCGGGCGGAGACAGCAAGCGGAAGCTCCGTCTGCCCTGACCTTCCAGAGAGCTATCTTCTAGCACGGGAGGCCTAAAAACTTGAAAAACGAAACGAAACAGCCTAAAACCAAGACATAGAATAGCTCTGGGATAGGACTTTAGTCCAGGGTGTTCCTGGAGGTGTTCCTGCCTCGGAATGCCTACCGGCAGCTGCGCCTCGCCGAGGGCGTTCCAGGGCGGCCGGGATGGTCCCGCAAGGCCGCCGGAGACGCATCGATCCACGACCGCCGACGCACCACCAACAAGGGGCCCGGTAGCCTAGCCCGCCCAGAAGCGTGCGGATTCGCTACTGGGGGGCCTATCGACGATCCATCGCGGATGTATCGCCGATGCAAGCTCGGTGCTGACCCCCCCCCCCTGGCCTGGGGGAGGTCAGGGGACGACTCCTGGAGGCCTGGACATGGGCACCAGCACCAACCCAGGGGTTTGCCTCCACAGGGGGATGAGGATCCTAGATTTCGGTGTTGGTGGTAATCTTTCGATCACCCCTTCTCCCCTCGGTGGAGGCACACGGCCGATATTAGTGCTGGTGCCAACCTCTACAATCTAAAACCCTAATAAGGACGCGCGGTAAGGACGCAGGACCCTTGGAAGCCAAAGTTGGGATGTTTGGGGCGGGGGAAGACGAACACCCCAAGGACGCAAGAGCAAGGAAGAGCAAGGACGCAAGGGTACCCTGAGCAAAGTCGCGCGTCCTTATTAGGGTTTTTGACTGTAGGCCTGCGATGTGAACTCTTGGAAGACCAACGTCCTCGCAGCGTAAAGCATCACGGCGAGCGGTTCTTGCACATTTTCAGCCTCCGTGGGCCCTCGCCAGGTCCATGGGCCGTCAAAAAAAATGCTCGAGGACGCGACCAGTCGTGGGGAATGGGTCCAGAAATCTGGGGTCCACACTGTGATAAATCTCGATGTCGGAATTCGGGAGAGGCACTCGCAAGAACGAGTAAATGGCTACTGGGCCCGACTACGAAGCCACTAAGCGCGATTAACTCAGACTGAGCCCAAGATCAAGCAGGAAATACGCCAGATTCGGCGGGATAAAGAGGAACGGATCGGAATTATGCTGGATGAGTCTTGTTTCTGCCGCAGGCATACCACTGTCGATGCTGAGATAAATAACCTCCCAGGAATTGCATCCTGACTGAGGGTTGGGGTCCGCCGTCACCAATCTCGGGAGCGGCCAAGAGGGGAGTGTCCAAGAGGGGGGGATGCAAATCGTGACCGGCGGCACGTGCGCGGCCCAGCGGGGGGGCCAGGGACGTAGTGAAACAAGAAGAGGCGCCATGAAATCTGGGAAAATATAATGGCCCACGCAGGAGGAGGAGGAGGAGGAGGAGGAAGGAAAGGAAAGAAAAAGGAGGAGGAGGAGGAGGAGGAGGCAGAAGTCATCACCCCCCTCTCTGCCGCCCCCGACAACCTTCCACGGACTGGCGTGCCCCTGGAGGGGGGGCCGAGGAAGGTCCCCGACGTCCCTGCGGCGGGAGGGCCTCGCGGCCGAGGGCCCTCGAGCACGTCCGGCCTACACCGGGGGCCCCTGCCGGGCCCCGCGGCCCTCGGAACAGGCCTCGGAACAAGAGGCCAATGTGGGAGGCCAGTCCCTCTTGTGACTTCTGACAAGAGGAGGAGGAGGAGAAGGAGGAGGAGGAGGAGCAGGAGGAGGAGTAGCAGGAGGACGAGGAGGAGGAGACGGAGGAGGAGACGGAGGAGGAGGAGGAGGAGGAGGAGGAGGAGGAGGAGGAGGAGGAGGTCCAGACTTCTGATGTTTCTCCTCCAGGCAAATCATCGTCGGGCCGCTGTCGTCGGGCCGCTGGCCCGATACGAAATTATCGTGGAAGCGTATCGGCTCCACCGGTGGGGAAAAAGAGGGGGCGATGAAGGGGAGAGGGGAGGAGGAAGAAGGAGAGGGAGGAGGGAGGAGAAAGGAGAGGGAGAGGGACGGACAAAAGAAGAGGTCCAGACTTCTGGGGCGTCGCGCTGCGGAAAAATTGCGATGTCGGGTGTCTGGGGTGGAGCAGGGCTGGAGGCGGGGTCGGAGGAAAACGTTGTGCTGACCCATCTTTACGTACCCTCGGGCTTGGGGCCCACAGCTTGGCGGATGCGAACTGCCGACCAGCACCAACACAACCATCTGGACCCCAAGCTGGTCCTGTGGATGCCTGCGGGGGGGATACTTCCCCTGACCTCCAAAAACGTTTCAAATAGCCTTCCTGACTCATCGACCTATCACGACTGCTACTGAAAACTCGAATGATACCAGAGAAAAACCCCAATCAGAATTTTTTTGGGGGGGCTATGGGGCTTTAGGGCTTTAGGGTTTTAGGGCTATGGGGCTATAGGGCGATGTGGCAATAGGGATATAGGGCTAGAAGCCTTTAGGGCTATGGGGCTATAGGGCTACAGGGCTATAGAGCTAAGGGCTATAAGGCTATTCGGGCTATTCGGGCTATAGGGCTATATACGGCTATAGGGCTTTAGGACCATAGGGCTATAGGGCTATAGGGCTATGGGGCTATGGGGCTAGGGGGCTATTGGGCTATTGGGCTGTAGGGCTATCGGAGGTGAGGGGGTGAGATCGAAGTGGAACGGCGAGCCCCCCACCGGGAAATCGGTTTCGGTTTCGTGTTCGTGCGTGCCGTGCGTGCGAGGCGAAGCTGCGTGGGCGGGCGAGAAAAAGTCTCCTGTGGCTGAGGCGCGGCCGGACCAAATGTTTCTCATCCGGGGCGCGGGGCCCCGCGGTGTCCCGCTGGTGTCCCGCGGTGTCCCGCGGTGTCCCGCCGGTGTCCTGCGGTGTCCCGCGAGGATGATGATGATGATGATGAGATGATGATGATGATGATGATGATGATGATGATGATGATGATGATGATGATGATGATGATGATGATGAGATGATGATGATGGTGTCCCGATGAAGATGATGATGATGTTGATGATGGTGTCGATGGTGATGATAGTGTCCCGATGATGAGAATGATGATGCTCATGATGATTATGTTGTTGATGATGACGATGATGGTGTCCCGATGATGATGATGATGATGATGATGATGATTCCGATGATGTTCCTGATGACGATGTTGATGGAAATGGTATCCCGGCCATCATTGATGTTGATATTGATGATGATTATGGTGTCCCGATGATGATGCTAATGATGATGATGCTGATGGTGATGATGATGCTGATGGTGTCCCGATGATGATCATAATGATAATGACCATGTTGATGATGATGTTGCTCATGATGATGGTGCCCCAATGATGGTGATGATGTTGTTGATGATGATGTCGATGATGATGATAATGATGCGATGATCATGATGATGGTGTCCCGAGAATGATGACGATGTTGATGATAATGTTGATGATAAGAACGATGGTGATCATGATGGTGTCCCGATTATGATGATTATGATGATGCTGCTGATGATGATGACGACGACTGTGTCCCGATGATGATGTTGATGATGAAATGATGATGGTGATGATGATGATGATGATGATGATGATGTTGTCCCGATGATGATGCTGACGCTGATGATGATGTTTATGATGATGATGATGATGATGATGATGATGATGATGATGATGGTGACGGTGCCCTCGTGATGATGACGATGCTGGTGATGATGTTGATGTTGATGATGTTGATGATGACGATGATGACGTTGATTGTGAGAGCGATTGTGATATCGATAGTGAGATCAATATTGAGACCGAATGTGAGATCGATTGTGTGATGGATTGTGAGATCGATTGTGAGATCAATTGTGAGATC